AAGTAAAATATATTCTTCATACAAAACAATTCAAATAAAATATGTTTGACTTAAATATCATTTATATTCTTCATCGAAAGAAATAAAGACAAATTAAATTAATTTAGTCAAATGAACATTTTTTTTCTCACTGCAGGATTTTGTTTTCTTAATCTTATAATCTCTCCTAGAATCATCGCGCAATCATCTTTCTTCAATCAATATAACTAAGATTTTAAAATAAATCTCATTCTCGGAAAAGAATTGACGTTTGTCGCGTAATAAATGTCCCGTCGTTATCGCAACATGTCAATCGCTTTGCGAGACCCGCAGGTGTGCTTTCCGGTTACGGAAATTTATAGACTGATTCGCGCCTTCGGATTCGCGAGCTTCGTCGTAAGATCTAGAGCGCACACAGAGAAAAAGAGCAGAGCCGAAGGGAATCGGCTCCGATTCATTGCCCTTATTCGTTACGGTCGTACGTTATACGGAACATTATCTCGATACAGGTGCGTATTCGTGGAAGATGAACGCGGATCGTTACGCTGGACGAAACGGTATGCAGATTAGTTCGCGAAGCACTTTCGACTCAGATGCCATAAACGCGATAGACTCGGTCGTCTTGCCTAACTGTCGCCCCGTTTTTGGAACGAGCATCGATCGCGCCGATTACATAAAATGCCTGCATTCGCGTTTCTTCGTTAAATCGTCCCGTTACAAGTACATTCGAATACGTTCCAGTTGAATAGAATGAAGAGCTTCATATGGAAACTAGACAGTTCTGTCAACGATAAAAGGAACCAACCATTCTTAAAATTGTAATTAGTGGATAATTAAAATTATTATTATTATTACTATTGTTGAGATGAAATGTTTTATCAAACATTTTTTGTTAATCATAAATAATGAATGGAAGTCAGATTTTTGTTAACAGAAAGCTTGAAAAACGTTATTTTTCAGAAATTTTATAATTAATTTATATTTTAATTATTCTATTAAATAGACTGATAATTATACTTTAAATTAAATTTCTAATGTAATAATAATTACATAAAAAACAATTTTGTAATATTTTTATTTAAAAAAAAATCGATATTGATGAATGCATATTAAAATTGAAAATGCATTGAAAATTACGATATAAATTAAGATTGCCAAGCAGATACTTCTCGCAGAAACGTTTTACCAGCACGATACTCAAGCTAATGCATTTCTCATACTTTCCGCGAGCGCAAACAAGCGATAGATCTCTCGTGAGAGTGAGTCACGCCTAACCGATCGACGCCGATTCGTAGGATCGCTGATAAGGTCGCTCTCGTGAAACTCTTTAAGCGTTAAAGTTCTATAGATATATCGAGTCGTGCAAACGTTCGAGCGTTTGTTCGGATCGGTTATATTACGCGCGAAATCTGCCGTACATTTCACGAAAGCCACCAGTTGAATCGTTCTGGCGTCATAAATTTGGGAACGCGACGGTAGTGCCATAAAACGAAAGAACCAGACGAGAGGTGGCACGCGCGCGTTTAATCCTCGGCTCTCGTCGAAAACTGCGAGGTGAAATCGGCAAGTTCGACGAGCTAATCGTCGCTCCGCAAATTAATGCGGCCGCTTAACTGAAATTTCGAACGATATTTATCCATGGCCCTGCTTGCTCTCGCTCATTCTCTGGTCGGCGATAAATTATAAGAAGCGGCGGATTACGTCATAATGGACGCCGAGCACGCGCATCTGTTTTACGAGCGCGGCGTTACGGTAATCGTCGAGCGAACCGACTCATCGCTCGCCATCGCCGACCGTGTTTCCCGCTTATAATCGGGCCGAACTCTCAATGAGTTCTGTATCACTCTATCAGCTTATAGAAGGAGGAGGAGAGGGAGGAGAGTTCCCTTCCGAGGGACGGCGAGAGGGTGCTCGCCGCAGTCCTCCCTCGAGGGGCAAAACCGCGGTGCGTATAATCACTGTAATTTCGATCAGGGCGCAATTTTTGTCCAGGCCGATCGCGACGTCCGTCCGATTTCATTAACCCTTCATCTCGGCCCGGCAATTTCAATCGAAGTCCCGTACAATGTCCTACGGAAGCAAAATCGTGGGAAGCGAAAGCTGGTAAGACATCACCTTTAATTTTTCTTTAAGCCTTCCGTTACAGAAGACGTGATCAAATTACGTCAAGAAAGGGATTTCTGATGTACTTTAATCATAGACAGATAATTTTTATTGCCGTTCCGTGAATTATTACCTTTATTACTTTATTCTTATTTGTATTCGTAAATAAATACAGAAGACGTGATCAAATTACATTAAGAAATAAATTTTTGATGTATTTGCATAGATAAATATAATATAATTACAAACGTTACGTGTTTTTACGTGACATTAAGGTATAAGGATTGAAAAATATTATTTTTCCCTTTTTAAGAATCAGCAATCTTGCTAAAACGTTAATTAACGAGAAATGAAAAATTTTATATTTCCAGTAGAGAATACATCAATATACTTAGGATATGATAGATGTAACACCGATTGGCTGTCATAAAATTGAAAAAGATTAATGTCAGCATAACCTCGCACTGCTCTTTACAGGTCGCCTAACGATAATACGCCGTGACGTGCTAATTGCGGTCGATTTCGCGTTACGTAGCACTTTCTTACCCTCGACATGCACTTTTTTTTACTTGTGAATGTACCCTTTATCTGTTATAGCCTATACCCATGATCTATACTCTCACCAACCTAATTTTTAATCGGTAACAATATTGCTATTCAAAAGAATGACATTGAATAAATTTAAAAATACGGAGCTCGGAGTGATGAAAACAACTTATTATTTTCTTCACTCGATTTCCAAATTTTTAAATTTATATACACACGCACACACAGACGCGCGCGCACACACGCACACACACACACACACGCACGCACGCACGCGCACACACATATATATATATATATATACATAAATAAAAATTTATATACTT